CAGAGCCCGTCCTGTCTTGAAACACTACCAGGAAAGGCTCAAACTCGATACCCTCGACTCCCTCAATTCCGGAACGCCATTGAAAACCCATCATCCACAAGCCCAGCCCCAATTCCAAAATCGAAAACTGCCTGGAAGCCCGACAAAACCTGTAACCGTTTTGAGAAAGCATACAGAAAGCCAAAGGAAACTTCATAAGTCTCTACAAATCCGGAATCCCTCAACTCCAGTTCCAAACCAACTGGGGCTCTGAACTTCAAGCCCGAAACCTGGAAAGCCAGATGCAAAATCCTAACTCCCAAGCCCCAGACTCTCTGAGACGAACATGACCGCTCTGAGTATGTCATAGCTTGACCTCCAGAACTTAAACTGCAAACCCTGAACCTCGAACCATTAATCCGAACGTTATGCCTGAACCGTCTCAGTACAAACAGCCGATGCGGAAAACCGTGTCCCTTGGGGCCCGTGGACCAAAAAGCGCCCCTCGGCTTATCTCTGGACCTCCACGGAAAATTGATGCCGATCTTTTGCAGCATCTGCTCTGGAAAAGGGGGGACCGAGAGTCAGAGTCGAGGTGATTTCAACAATTTCCACACCCAGCCGATGACGAACTTGAGCATGCTGGAGAAGAACGTGGAGACGATCAGCTTCCGCAGCCATGTCCTCGGGCATGCCTATTGCTCTGGGCGTGGTGGCGCCTTCTGGGAACCATGCATTTTGGACTGAAGCAACGAACAAGCAACACCACCACGTCCGCTAAGCCCTCCATCCAAAGCCTACGGTTCCCCTTCAGGCGTCCTGGTCACCACTTGGCCCATCACAGGAAACTGAAGCTCCTCGTGCCTCAACGCGATGATGCGGAACAAGGCGTCATCCTCGGAGTTGTCCAGCCGTGCTCGCTGGGCATCCACCACCAACCCGACTCTCTCGTGGTAGGATGACAGCGACAGAAACTGCATGCACAAGAAGCACGCGGTGAGTTGGGGATGGTTCGCGAAGAGATTCAGCCATAAAGCCAGCAAACGATAAACCGGAGAACTTGCTTGAGGCGTGCCATGAATCACCAGCACTATGTCCGCAAATATGCCCAGCACCATCGACAAGCCATCAAGCAAGACGTGCCAAATCAACAACCTGTGATATCGCTGCTTGCGCTCTTGGCACGCGCGAATAGCAGCAGACACATCTGAAGCAGAGCTGGCAGATTCAATCGCAGAGGCAACATGCTCCAGCTCGCTCTGCAGTAGCACTGCTGTAGCCAAGTGCGGCAGGGCGACTAACCAGGAAAAGAGGAACCAGCTTGACAGACCGATGACGGCCGTGGGCGCCATATTTACCCACCAATCCGAAACCGAACCCTCCGCCACCTCCATTTGCGGTGTTGCAATCACTGCAATCGCCGTTAAGGCCAACGCCGACCTGTACAGATTCAAGACTCTCCTGGGACACACAGACACCGTCCAAAGTCGAGGGATCCCTGGGTAGAGGTTCCTGGCAAACGCGAGGTGGACTATCCAGGACGCCATGTTACAGACTTGGCTGACAGCCATGGCTGCCGTCCAAGCCAAAACCCGGCTGTTGACAAAGAAATGTTTGTGCACCGACCAAGCGTAACTGCTCACGACAATTTGCAGCACTAGGCATACGAGTTGCGCCACCACCACCCCGAAAGCCCTGGCTGTCACCGGCGGAGGTCGAAAGCAAGGCCAGAGTGGGCACCACCCGAGAAATGCCAGACAGCTACATGACAGTGTCCGGAAGCCTCCCATGACAAACGACGTGATGAATAAGGTACAACAACCACAGACCGCCACGAAAAGCCAGAAAGATCGCGAGCAGGTTCCGGCACTCAGGGAATACACGACAACGGCCGCCACCAGGCCGGTGAGCAAAGGCCGGTGCGCAGGCTGCACACACGCCTGCCGCAGAATCCTGGGGGCCACACCATGAAGCCAAAGATTAGGGCTTAGGGTTTAGGGTTTAGGGTTTAGGGTTTAGGGTTTAGGGTTTAGGGTTTAGGGCCTAGTGTTTAGGAGGATCACGGCACATACTTTCAACTTAAATGGCTCACGAATGGCACTATCTACAAGAGGCGCAAGATGGACCAAAAAAGCACCACTCAAGCGCACTTTACTATTCCGATGCTCCAAAGATCCAGTGTATCTCATCAGTTTCCACGAGCGGCTCTGCCACGGTCCCGAAGGACTCGTCGGGCTGCGCCGACTCAGCAGTCTCGAAGGACAAGGGCGGCACCGGCACGGTGCGAGGATCCATCTGGCCAGAGCAGGTCGCAAGCTTGATACACCAGACTTTCCCAAACCTATAGAACCTGTTGAACCCTAAACCCTACGACCCGCACTCCGGGACTATGCAGAACCCGACGCCTAAGGTTTAGTGATTGTGGGCTTAGGGTTTAGAGCTTCGGTTTTGTCGCTTTTTGGCCCCCAGCCTAGCTGACCTTGCGGCCACGGGTTTAGGGTGTTTGGGGCTGACGGCCTGCACCCACAAGCCCCAAAAGGTCAAGCGCCTCATCAGCGACCCTAAACGCTAAACCCTAAACCCTAAACCCTAAACCCCCAACTCCGAAGCCCTCCTGGGCCTCGCCCCTCTGTTTGGCCGAGAAGCCTACATTTAGGGCTTAGGGCTTTAGGAACCCCAAAAACTCGAAACCCCCACAAGCTAAGCTAAACCCATTAAGCACGGTTAGGGTATATCTACACCGCCGAAGCCGCTGCAAGCACAAAGCCGAGATGCTGCGGATGCCGAGCTGCTTGGGATTCGGGCTGAGGTTTTAAAGCTCGAGGTTCAGGGTTTTGCATGGCTCATGATTTCACGTGCCGGTTGCCATTTTTGGGAGTGTCAATGGATGGCGCTATTTGTTTGCTAGGCCTATGGTTTGCAGGCGCTAGCCCGAAACCCTAAACCCTTTGCACCCTACTGGGCCATCAGACCCACTGTTCCTTGTTCAAGCTTCGGATGGCTGTCTCTGGGTTTAGGGTTTGTGATGAATAGGAAGTGAGGAGCATGTGAAGAGCGTTCAACCCGCGAAGATCATGTCTGGGCCACGTACAGTTTACGACTTTGCCAAGCAACAGTCATATGCATGTAAGGCAGTGCAACATGCATAGCCCAGGAAGTCGCTTTTGACCGAATGTTCAGAGAAGCATAGAGCTCTATCTTGGTCGCGCAGAAGGAGAAACATGTTGCGTTCTCGATCATGGATTTGAAGCGCCGAGCTGTTTCACTGCCTGTGCTGCCTCCAGAATTTCCTCAGGTTATGGTCGCGCATTTTACGCCAGAAAAATCAAGACCGGGCCCATGATGGAGCCCTTATCCGAGCGGTCTGGTCCAGGTGCCATCACACGACGGCCACGTGTTCTGGATCTTTTTCGGTAAGTCAGATGGGAAAGGCAAAAGACTTCGTTCGAGTGGAAATAGTAAGTTCTCACCCTACAATACCAAGATCCTTGAAACCGTCTGCCTTCGGCATAGTCGGAGTTCAGAACGATGAATGCATCGTGATTGTCGATACGCGACTTGTAGGTCTGCATCAACGTGTCGAGGCTGTGCTTCGGCCATCTGCGTGTGGTGTTTTCGTCGGCATGAACCCATTCTCTGTAAGCAACACGACATGACGTGCGAAATAAGGTGCGACATGGATCTGGAGTAGAGAGCAAGTAGAGTAGCATCTGACAATGCTCTGGGCTCAGCAATCAACGCGTTGATCTCTTGATCTCTTGGCTCTCCGGAGGATGACTGTGAGCACTTGCCATGGCTAGGATGAGCTAGTAGGCTAAAGATATGCAAACAAACCCGAATCAGCTGAGGGCCGAGCATGCATCACACTCAACTGAGGAAGACGGCACTCAAAATGCGCACTCAGACAATCAATCAATCCATCAGGTCTTGAGTACTGCAGACAGTCAATCCATCAATCAGCGACAGCTCCTAGTGCAGGTTCACGCATTTCACTGACACTGGTGGAATTTTCTGGCATCATACAACCAGTGGCTCCTCTTCTACGTAGGAACAGTTGATCCTAGGCACTCCCAGGAGATTGGGCTTTCAGCTGGGATTCAAAAGCTGCAATGCGATTCTGCATGCTCCCCAACAAAAGCATTGGTTTGCTCAACCCATTGCGCAAGAAGAACCCTGATCCGGAGAAACATGTCCTGCGTCTGCATCTCTCACAGATTCAAGCTAATTCCAAAAGTCAAGAAAACATTGAAGCTGCCTGGATGCATTGAGTCGAGGCAAGGAGACGGCCACCTCCAACCTGCGTTCAAGGGTCAAGAGGTTTTGGGAGGCATGGGGGCAGGTCATGTTGAGGGTTTTGTTACGGTTCAAAGAGCCCAGAGCAAAAAGCTTCTTCGGATCTTCGACCCTCGCCATGGCCTCTAAAAGCTCTTCTTAACCTTAAACAAGTCCGGAGAGCCGGTGCTGTTCGATTGCATGTAGTTCGACTCTGCAGCGCTGAGTGTTCAATGGGTTTTGGCGCATGTCGCAGCGAGTCCTTGGGCAGGATCGGCCTTTTCGAAAGAAAGCCTTCGCATTGGCCAGTGACTGGGAAGCTTCCTGCCACGGTCCAGATGTTCCGAGCGCCAGATCACATGCCTGCGCAAATCCCTGCTGATACAGAGCTGGAGCTACCAGAGCTGAGCTAGAAGGCCTGCAGCAAGCTATCGATGTCCAAAGCATCTCCAAACTACGGCAGCCAGTGGTGTTCGATGCAAAACCTAGCTTGAAAACTGCAAACCCTCCATCCTAAAAACCGTGACTGCAAACAGTCATTAACCCAACACAGCGGCACGGCCTCCGCGCGAAGAAGCAGAGAAGTGAAGGCGTCTTTCGGGCATGCCTCCACTAAGAACTGGGCTCTATCTTGCAAAGATTCTGAACTGGGCTCTTGCAATTACTCTGATGGAAGCCCCACAAGCAGGAACCCATGCTATCGACTGCGGACCCCTAGTATTTTGGTTACACCACGAGTACGCTCCGGAACAAGATTTCCCCTGGCCACTGCACGCCCGAGGATATGGTGGCGGTGGCTGGCTCTTGGACCCAACTGGGATTCCTTCGAAAGGGTGCCCAGAGACTCCAATACCCCTTAATTCAGGAATATACCTTAAATCATATTAGGGATCCTACTATACTTTAAAGTATATTCCTTAATTGAGTCTCTGGGTGTACTGTAGATGCAATTGCC